TCTCAGGTAATACTGGTTCGAATTGAAGAATGCTTCTAGTTTTGGCTAGAGCATTTATCGAAGAAGGCTATCGATTAAAACATCACGCTGTGACTAATAGGAATAAAGAAACAGGGGAAAATGTGGAGAAACTGGACAAAATATTCATCTGTAAGGGTAACCTAAAAAATATATATCAAAGAATGATTCCTCTTTTAATGACATAAAACGATGTCCGCGACTATGTCTACCTTTTAAGACTGAATTGCAAGAGCGTCGGGACGTGGGTAAGAGCTGTAATTTATAAAGATGTTTGTAAAAACAAATTTGAATGCCCAAAATAACTATTCTACGCGGACGAAGTCGATGGCACAGCTAGTACATAATATACAGGTATGTGAAACAAATTAGACTGCACATTAGGCACATCGAACATCCTTAGTGTTTAAATCACTCCCCGTGACCACGTATGCTGTTAAGGGACCGAAACATCGGTTTGTAGTTAAGACTTGATAACTAACATATTTGGCGTAAATAATATAATAATAATTTGTTATTAGTTACGGCGTTCAGTATATGACACTTCTGTGTACATTCATGCAAAACATTTTTTTTTTTAATTATCCCAGATTCAAACATAGCACCCAGAAGGTGATCCAAATACTTGCGATTACTTATGATGCGAATAACTATATGGAGCTATCGGCAATGATATGAAAATACACAGTGATATTATTCTTTAAGCTTTCGCATTGATTTTATAGTACAACGTGTCGAACCAAATATACCTTTTTAACCAACAGTATAACACTCGCGTGACTATAACGCAATCGTACAAACACTATTGGACTCTTTCATGTTTATTTAGCATTATGCAGTGTTTTATTTTGTGTTTACACAAGGTGAGACTAGTTAGAGTGGGTACCTAATTGCTTTATATTAAGGAACATTAAATTATACATAAGGCTTTTGAAACCTTTTATACTTTCACATGTGGCACTATATAAATAAAAAATTTACACGGTAGCTCAATTGGTTAGAGCAACAACATGGAACCCTGTGGATGCCATTTCAAGTCCTGCCCGTGTCGTAATTTTTTTCAATTTAAAATCGATTTTTAATTTATACACAATACTTTTAGGGTGTCATTAATAAAAAAAACAAGTGCAGATTTCAATGAGCCTGGTGTACGCCTTTTTTCAGAAAACGAAAAGCTATAATTGACAAGAGTCTGTAGTCTATAGTCTATACTCTATAGTCTATAGTAATACTGACCACGAATTATTAAGTAGAGAGAGAATGAATGTGGTTTGAACTGAATTGCAATTTCAGTACAAAAAAGTTGAAATTTCAGAATACATTTTTAAATATTCTTCAATACTGATAAAAATAATTAAGCTTATCAACTTATTAATGAAGCAAGTCGTCATTGGGTTAAACATATATTTGAGTGAATTTGACAATTATCTATAATTTATAACAATTACACATGGTTTGCTAGATGGTGTATATTTAATCAAGCAACGATGCTTAATAATATTGAAAAAAACCCTAATTAATTTTATTTTACAGGCAGGGGACAATATTGTCTATACGACCGCGATTAGTTCGGATAAAAAAAGTTTTAACGGTTTCAAACTTAATGTTTATTAGATAACAACACCAGTGACAACGGCTTCTGTCATTTGCCAAGCATTCAAAACATCGGGTCATAATTAAATATAAGTCAACTAATATATCCCGCGTTTTAAAAAGTAAAATTTGACCGTGTTCGAATTTTCACGTGTGAATATACATTTTCACATAGAATAGCTATTTAAGGATGGAGATATGTACATAAATAAGTAACAAAAAACACCTAAACTCGGTTATTTCTCATCGTATATTTTATCGAAGAATCCTAATCGCGGTTTTCCATTTTACGACCAAAAATTGGACGATAAAAAACAATAAATAATGTGTTTACGGCTTTTGTATGAAGGTCTTGTCATAAAGTGTGTCTATGTGAATGCTTTGCGTGTTCGAGAGTGTGAATACAGTACTAGTAATAAATTTATATGCTGTATTAAGCGAGCCCTATTTGCTTATATATACAGTACACCTGACATTTACGAATAATAAAAATACCTTATGCCATATCACGTTCCTTCGTTGTTCTTCTTAAATGTTCTTAAGTCTTCTCAAGCAGAGTGCCCAGTACGCATAGCGGATAATCGACTGAAAGAAATATTATACCGGCATCTTTTAAAAATAGCCAATCATGTTGATTTAAATAATAATATTTTATAGGTTCGACTCCCGGGGCAACATCGGGAATAATAATTCTAGTTGGATTGTTTATTATTGTGTTAAATTTCTTAGGTAACTACTATCTAGCTACTAGATGGTAGATGTGACATCTAATACAGATGATTTTATTTATTTCATTATAAACATATTCTACCATTACAGAAAAATTCCATTGCGATAGACTTATTATATACATACATATTTCATAGAGTGATGTTTTTGTCAATTCACCCAAGCTGCACGTAAAAATGTCGATCCCCTCTTGCAGCTTATTGATAAAACGCATAGCACGGAAAAGAGGGGATTTTATCAGAAAGTTGGTACGTGAGTACGGCAGCGCAAGTAACGGTGGTCGTAATCGCCTCCACACGTATCGGTCCGGCACTGACAAGTGTATGGACTGTAGAACTCCTGGGTTTAACTCTCAACCCCGCAATACTTTTACCAGATATATCACAAGGAATAAGTCCATTGTACCCGACCATGCCTATGATCTTTATAATATGTACTTGACATGCATACGACCATAAACGCCATATTCTATATCACTAGCTGTTAGGTACCACGACGTCATCCGCGTCGTCCTAACAACTTATTCTTAAAAAATAAACATATATTTTTTTTAATCTCAAAGATCCCACCAATAGGAACGAAGAAACGTCATTCCTCTTGTACAGCCTAAAGCCTTCCTCGATAGATGGTCTATCTAATACAAAATTAATTTTTCAATTCGAACCAGAAGTTCCTGAAATTAGCGCATTTAAACAAAGACTTCAGCTTTATAATATTAGTGAATATTCGTTTTACTAAGTATTGGTTTGATTTTAATAAACATGTCTGATTTTGTTACTACCTTAAAAATAATTAAGCAAATTTTGAGCAATTACCAAAGAAACAAGCTTCAAAGTAATCGATTGTATTTTTATTAACTACAGATTTTAAAAGCTTGCATTGTCAGCCCTGTATGTTTACGAGCCATCAACGTACAATAAGAATCACACTATTTTATGGATTTGTACGCTGTCGAGGTCAGATCAGTGTAGTCCCTTTGTCGCTAAGGCTTTTTTAATTAAATTACTTTTATTGAATATTTGAAACGTAATGTTATCGAAATAAAAAATTTCTGCTTTTATTAATTAGCAGCGTATTAAACCAAATTAATGCGTTCTTTCAAACAAATCAAGAAAAACCTAATTTGTAATTGGATAATTATTGCAAATATTAGTGCATTAAGGAAATATTGAGTGAAAGTTCTGGTCCATCTTATATGTAGGTACTTTGAGTTTATGCTTCAAAAATGTTCTTTAGGATACTAAAATTAAAGGCTCTTCATACTGAAATATAGCTTTAATCAGTTTTAATAATGTCTTTATGTACATGTAGCGTTTATAACTATATAAAACATATGCCTACAGTAAACATGTAAAAATTCATACACAAAACATTGTACCTTTGTTTAAATAATACAACGTAAAAGGTGAAAGGGTAAAATTAACTTACATTGCATTTTTATTTCATGTGCTAAACTCGTATATATGAGACGTGTTACATATTACTATAGTTAAAATTAAACTTGTTTTTCCGATCCTAAAATTTTGGAAATTTTTCGGAAAACAACATTTTAAGAAGGTAAATTTTCTGCCTTAGAAGTACGAGAGTTTGTTAAAAATCTATACAATATAAGTTAGTACCAATAACATCTTACTTTTACAAACAAAATAACATACTTTGTTTTGTAATATTTAAAGTGTAAACAAAAAGATGTTTCGGGTTTAATTGTAAACATAAGACGATTGTCATTTCTAAAAAGGTGCTTATTATTTTTAGCTGCAACTAAATTTCCAAAGTCATGTTTAAAATATAAGTAAATATCACAACTTGATAGTAAATAGGCATCAAAAGCTTGATTAATTTTGCCTTCAACATGCTTAAATGAAGAATAAATCGTCGACAAAAAAGTCGTGTACATGATAACAAACCAATAAACAGCTGCACCATAATTTTCTTAAATAAAAATATATACAAAATGCGTTTTATGCTTAAAAAAATAATGTAAATCTGATTATGTTTCAATAAAAAAAACTAGGAACTATGTAATCCAATGAAAGGCGTTTAAAAAGGTACTAACGCAAAAGTAAATGTTTAAAATCATCTACACATGATATTTCATGTTAAGTTGGCTGTAATTGACCCGTCTATATAAAATGTACAATGTTAAACATTACCTAAGAAGCTTCGTAGTATAATATTAGATGATTGTGGTTAGAACTATACTGCGCTTGTGAGGTCTATTGACGTAATCAATAGCCAAAAAGCGCCTAAAATCGCGTCAGTCTTCGAAATATACCTAAGTAATTTAAAATTTCATTCTAAATGCATCGTTAGGCTTAAAATCTGGAATCACAAGGAAAGTACACGGAATGTGAGAACCAATTAAGAATAATCAGTCTTAAAATGGATCAAGATATGCCATTGGGCAAGCGATGACAACTATTTCGATGTGAAACAATAAATACTTACTATTAACGTTTACAATTCGAACTTAACTCATACCTAATTACAGTACTTAAAAACTCGCAAAATGGTCCATAATATAATTGTACGCATAGTAAAAAATCTAGCACTACAGTTATTTACACGAGCACCTCAAATTATCTGTCACTTGTCACGTCTTGTTCACTGTTATCACTGCACTGCGCCGTAATCGGCAGCCGATTGACCAGCTTCGGCCACTACACTTCTGTGCCGTCCTCACCTTCATCTTCAAAAAGCGGCTCGCTGGGATTAACTTCTGCGTTCGGTTTCTTCTTAGGTTTGGGCGGAGGCCTCGGCGGGATCTTACCGCTCCTACCCATCGTGCCCGACTGGTTCAAGGACACGTTACCTTCGTTCTTACTCGGATTCTCCTTTCTCGGGGAAACATTCTCTTCTTTATCAATTCTAGTGTTTCTTCTTAGAGATCCTGTTTCAGGTTTGCCTTTTCGGCTCAATGTTTCCATATCGACACTTAGTTTTCTAGGTTCGGGCTGTGGGGTCGATGTGTTTTTCGCCGTCCAACTCATTCTAGGATTCGATGGCTCCTGTGGTCCCGGGGTTGAGAGCTGGGTCGATAATTGAGAACTTATACTATTCCTCGAAGGTGTAAATGGTGGTGGTACTGGTGAGGGGGCGGGTTCCTGTTCTTCTATCGGGGCATAAATAACTGGGTGAGCGTTAGCATAAGATGTAGGTGTCGCTGGGAGTGGTCTATTTCTCATGGGAGAAAATTGCGGTTCAAGACCAGTTTTATTCAGAGATAACACGGAACTACCGTTTGCTGTCGTACGAAGGCCTAAATTGTCATATAAGGGTTCCTGAGCTTCTGCGCTAGGCAGAATTTGAGTACTAGCCGTGCTGGACCACGACGGGACTCGTGGTCTTCTTGGGATAGTTACATAGCCTTGCCTAGGAGTTACAACGGGTGGAGTGATGGGTGAAGTGAACGGCGATTGCGATCGGGAGTACGGTAGCGTTCTAAAGATGTTTTGATTTGTAGTCATGCCGTATATTGGAGAGTGTATTGGGCTAACGGGGTTGACTTGTAGCCGGGTAGTATCAGGAACAGTGGAAGCATTGCTGGCTGCCGGGGATATCTGAGCTGCTCTTGGAGGAAAGGAAAGCAAGTCGGGTGGATATGCGCGTCCGTCTGTACGACCGTAGTCGCTGAGGGCGTCTTCTGAACGCTTCCTTTGATGTTCAAAATCAAGAGACCGTTTTTCATCATCGTTATGAGCTGAAATGAAAAAAGAAATTCAAGTTGAAACTATCTTCTTAGAACGGTATAATGAATTTTAAAAGTTAAAGAAATATTATGATACGCTAATATGGAAACTATACAACCTGGTATTTTTCACATCTATAGGGACCCGACTAAAATTTATCGTAATATTGCTAACGAGGTTGTTTCATCATTACTATTATATGTAATTTAATAATAAAAAAAGTATTATTGTAAAATTATAGGAATCCATAATTTTAAAAATAAAACTTACCAAAAACAGAATCATTGTCAAGTAACGTTTTGTTCAACTCAGACATCTCCGTGGCCCCACTGGTTATCGAAGGAGGTACATCATAGCGTCGCGGCGGCTTTGTCACTGGATTCACAGCAGTTATCAGGCTCTTCTCCATTTCCGGTATCACAGATCCCTCAATTAACGCTTCTCCATTCGATGTGTCAGCCTTCTTTTTCTCTAAAGACCTCCTTCGACAACAACAATAACAGAATAAGACTAATAATATCAACACAATCGCTGCTAGACACGACACACCAATTAAGACTGGAAGCATGTTGTTGTCCATACCCGGAGGGGGGACTATGCCTGGGGCAGTGTGTGTTACAAATAATGTTACATTTCTTTCTTCTACTCCTGCTGCGTTCTTAGCTACACAGAGATACATCCCATTGTCTGTACTACCAGCGTCAATAATGGTTAAATTTAGCCATCTACTGTTTTCGGTATTACTCTGAGTTAACACGTATTTAATTTCTCCCTGATATCTATAAGTTCCATCTATAATCTGTGCATTAAGTACCCAGTTTACCTCGGGTATGGGGTTGCCGTTAACTTGGCATGACAAAGTAATATTATTATCCCCCGATTGTATAGTACTCATAACAGAAGGATAGACAATGCTTGGCCGGCAAGCAAAATCGCCAGAGTCCAATTCTTTCCATAATTTGCCGTGAACTTTGGCAGGCTCACTGCACGATATCGGCGAAGTGTATAGGTTTTTGCTGATAACCCAGTTCCTGAATGGCTGTAGATAACAATCGCACCGCCAAGGGTTGTCGTGAACGTCTAAATTTGATAGAGAAGTTAATGCGCTGAGGGCATCAATTTTCAAGTGTTCTAATCTGTTACCGTCGAGTCTTAGGATGTTAAGTTTCGGCACATTCATAAACGTCTTTACACCGATCTGGGTGATGCGATTATTGCTAAGGTCAACCTTCTGTAAGAAGGGTAAGTTGTTAAATAGTCCGTCTTCTAGTTTTTCTATTTGATTGTCGTTTAGTAATATCCATCTTATTTTTGCTGTCTCCCTGAAAGTTTCCGCGTGTAGAGTCTTAAGATTATTTTTCGATAGATCCAACTCGATCATGATCGCTAGACCGCTGAGTCCATTTCTGTGTATCGTTATCAGTTTACAGTCTCGTAGAATAAGCTTCTTCAGATTGATTAAGCGTACGTCTTCGAATGCATGTCTCGTGATTTCGTAAAGTTCGTTTCCGGTGAGATCGAGGATTTGAATTTCCGTGCTCAGTGTTTTCGGTATGTCGTGAAAGTTTGACTGCGAACAGTCCGCCTGCTTGTTACCGCTCGCCCAGACACATTTGCATTCTTGCGGACAGTTCGCCGTGAAGTCCGCGGCCACAGTTGTTAGCGCCAGGCTTACAATTATCACTTTGTGCAGTCGCGCCCCCATTTTAGTATTGGAATCTGAAACAAAGAGAGGTTATTGTTAAAATTTTAATGAAGGCGAATGTCAGAAGCTTTTTAAAAATCTATTTTATAGTCGTCAATTCGGCACCGATAATTAACCATTAACAGAGCAACTGTTAAATTCGTATTTTAATGTGGTAATCGATGAAAAAGAAAACTACTATCTTCGGACTCATAAATTCTACCTATCATCGGACGATCTCATAAAACAAATAGGTGTATATAATTCAGCACTTCATCAGGATAAATCTCGTGCGAGGCGAATGGTCTGACATTAAACCTGAGACACTTAAAGAAGCGTGTTTTTGGAAGCGTTATAACGGCAATAAAACGTTGAGTTGGAAATAGAAATCGTCTGAACACGCACAGGAGTTTATGTTTGCGTTTAGGCGTAGTGCACACTATCCCTGTATTATATATCAAGATATTTTTATACTATGAAATCATTTTCATTCTTCTTTTTCTTAATTTTGTGCTTTTTCATTCTCAGTGGATTCTGTTTATCTGTCATGTATCAATGGGAGAGTCAAGGAGAAACATCATTTCATTTTGGCATAATTGAAACGTGTTTTCACTTTATCGGGTCTTTTTAAAATTGTAATCCAAAAATAATAATAAAATATAGATAATAATAAAAGTACGCAACTCTTTAAATATGCTTCTCAATTTTACGATTTTTATTAGTTTTATTTTTATTGTAATAAGTGTGCACACGGCGCTATCCCTCAAAGGGAATCCAAGAGTTTACAAAGGTGGAGCAGAAACAGATGTAATGGTTAGGTTAATAAACAATGTTGCCATAAAACTTTTTATTTCATGTTCTCTATCAAGTAGTGTTTATTTATTAAGTTTTCATCTCGGTCATAGTGTTTTGAGAGTCAACGGTGATTTAGACCCAAAATCATTTTTGTAATATTACAATATACAATTTTTTCTTCTCTTTCGTGTATATTTTGTATACGTCGGATTTAAAAAAATAACGGATTATAGAGGTAGGCCTAATCCCTACGATACCCTACACAACGTGAATATAAAACAATGGTAAAGGAAAATCAAAAAGATTTAATCAAATCAATAAAACTGGGCGATATTGCCTTTATGTACATGCAAATATCTATTTATTAAAAGTGACAATACATTTTTCTCTAGATTCCACTCAAGTCGCGCGTCTTAAATAACTAACAACTTTGTGATGACGTATATTAAATTTATGTTTTAACACTCTCACGAAGTGAGCTGTAAAATAAGACTCATAAATCTTTATGACTTTAAAAGTAAAAGAATATAACTACTGAATAGTGTCTACTGTTCAAACAAAAACGCTTTAAAATAAATTTGTAGAATTGTATTATTAAAGTCTAATAGGATCCTTAGGAAACGATCCATGTGGCAAGCAACTACGAAAATAATATTTTTATACAGATTTTTAATTGTAAATGATAACTTTGATATAACATAGTTATTAAAATTGTGACTATTGTGGAAATACTTTATTCAACTTTTATCAAGTTTAGTATATTGGAATATATTATTTAAATTTGTTAAATACAATTGGACTAATACCGTCTACAAAGGAAACTATTACATTTTACCAAAAATCTGATGGTTCAGGTAATTAATTCCGATATTTTTAATTTGATCACGTTTTAATTGAATAGCTATATAAAAAGTATTATGTTAACGAATTCCGTTTGTAATTAATAATTTAGTTGGAATTAAAATTTCAGCAGTCTTTTAAAACCTTAAACTGTTGCCAAATAAATAAATGTGATGTACGAACACTTAAAACTTGAATTAATACGTTGTTATTGATTTAGTAGCTGTCCCAAATAAAAAGGACTTTAATTTAGATACACACTATTATATAAAAAGCAAAATATCCACGAAGAAGTGTCTTACCATCAATATTATACATAATGATAAAAATCATCAGTTTTATTGTTATTTATTATAGTAAGAAATCATACTTCAAAGAATTCTAAATATTCATTCATAAGGATTTTTAAGTGTTTATACATCGACACTTAAAAAATAATAGGCATATTATTGTATGTTACAAATTAATTCTGTTAAAAGATTTAATGTCACTCAAAGGAAATTAATTATACTTTGTTAAGGGTGTTTGTCGTGGGCGCGAACAATGCTTCCTTTTAATGTCGATTTTGTAATTATATAACTTCCAATTTTAGGAAGTCCATAGTCCCAAATCTGTTTCTATAATTCATTAATTTAAAGTTATGCGTAGGTGAATGACACAGAAATGCTTAAAAGTAAGAATACTTCAGCCTGCTAAACAAAATTGCAAAGTAAGACAGAAAAGACATATTACAAGAGAAAGACAGCCAGGAATATATATTTAATGAAAGATAAATTACATATCCCACCTTTCTATAGATAATTAATAAGTAATTTTGACTTATTGTTTTGGACTTTGGAAATCCATGGACTGGCTGACCGAATTGGAGATTTACTTCTCGGCTGTTTTTACTATTAAGAATGTTCGAAGGCAAGGGAAAGAAAATAATATAGACGGTGAAAGTTGAGGATTTTAAACTTCACAATTTTAACTTGGCACGTTTGACAGTGCACGCGTTTGATTAATGTGAATTTAGCAGACAAACTAAATTAAAATTCATGACTGAGAGAGGGTAAGTTTGTGAGGTCAGCGAGTGAAATGAAGTGTATTTAGTTTTTTATCTTTATTTTGACGCTACGTCCAAGTACCTACTGGGTATAATATTCTCTTCAGGATTATAGTCTCTACGATTAGCTGTTTAAATTTATCCATCATTTTGTTTTTTTTTTTATGATAGAGGACAGTCAAGCATGGTCACATGATGGTAAGTGAAATACCCCAGCTGCATCTAGACGAGATGCGCTGTCGACCTATTTTGGCTTTGGATATTCGGAAATCCAAAGACTGAAGCCGAAACGTGTGTGTTTCGTCTGTTTGTTTAATATTCAGATTTCCAGACGAAGTCCAACATGTTTTAGAGGAATTATAAATTGATAAATTTTAAACATATTGGTTCTGATGGGGATCGAACACACGTCCCGTTGGTTGTAAGCCATTGCTACCATTACACCAACGAGCCCGTCAATGAAGTTCGAGACTAAGTATTTACAAATACGACATCGGCGTTTGGTGTTCAATTTTTTTTTGTTATTTCAGTGAATCAATAAAAATATAATAAATGTAAAAAATCATCAAATAACAATCAATAAATGTTAAATAACAAACAGATGTCGCTTATTTTGGAAAAGCCTCTACTAAGTTACAATAGAATTAGCACATCAGGAGATGGAATATTTCAAATAACATCGCCACACATTTTGCTAATTTTTACATTTGTTGGATACTTGCTCAATTACAGTTTGTTTTCTTAAAATGTTACCTGCATTTTTTAAATTGTTGAAACGAACAAATATAGGGTATACTTGTTTTCAGTACAATAATAGTCCACACGAGCCCCCATAAGCCCGAACGCGACACTGCTATTGTTCTAAATTGTTTATTCAATGGAATGACCCACTTTGACCCCACTCATGTATTCACAAACGCTAATAAACGACATTTGTCCGCGATTCTGTTTGTACTAATTAAATCCTGTCAACAGGTGTCGAGTTTAATAGGGCAAGAATTTCAACAAAGATATGACATGTTTGTTCCTTTTTCTATATTTCTTCTTATTATTTCTAATTTATTACTCTATGTGGCATTTACCTATAAATGGGCATAGCTAAGTTACACGGCGAAAACGAAGTTCGAAATAACAAGATGTTGGGTTTGACAATGACTAAATTATATGTCAATCCCAAACAGTTTATCCGTTAGAACTCTTTAACGGTTGGTTATCTTGGGTACGGCATTATTTAAATTTAGATAATGCTTATCTATAAAATGGTTATATATATATTTTTCAAATTATACGTATATAGATAATTTAAGTCCCTGCTGTAACAAATAATCCGAGATTAATAAGAAACAATCTGAATTAACCGTACTACCGACACAAACAGAAAATACTTAGTAAAACTTTTCTAATTGTCGTCCTAAAACACACGGTTTGCGATAAGATAAAACTCCCTATCCATTGTCTGAAGCTATAAAATAGGCTTCGCCAAAGGCCTCGTTAGGCCGTATACGCACTGCGATAATTACACGCACTCGAAGTGACAGTGAGGCGTGAATGAGGAGCAATTTGGATATAAGTGCGTTCTACCGTGCGAACCGCGCCTTATAATTGTGTTTGACGACTGGTTCAAGTTAGGAGCGGATGAAGAAATGCAATTTTAATATTCGATGTTAAAAATTTTCAACCAGTTTTAACAAATGCCAGAAGCGTTTAAAATATTAATCGAAACCTTGACAATTTAACGTATTGCTTCAAAAAAGAAATATATTGTTAAGTATAAGAAATGTTCTTTACATAAAAAAAGATTTGAGAAAAAATTCAAGGAGAGGTATTTTTTTTTATTTATTTATTTCGTGTCTTTTGCATAAATATCGCTACCGCCACTACCTTGTACCATTAACATACTGGCGAAATATCGTATCAACTGATCTCTCTTTCTACGCGTGTAGCGTAATGTCGTAATTTGGAGTCGCGATATTGTCGCGGGGAGATGTGTGGGGACGAAAGGGCTGGATCGCGGACAAAATCCCCGAAAGACCCCCGGGGGGCCGGGTAATGAACGCATTGGCTCGACTTATTGACAGATAAAAATTCTTGTGAAATTTGATTAAATTAAGGAAAACAACATGCACATAATATATAGTGTACTGTTGTGTATTTCGTTTATTGAGCTTAGTATATCAATATATAAATTATAGAGAAATACATATACAGCCCTTTATTGCCTGCGGTATATAACAGACGTATATACAGTAAATTTCTTCGTCGTAGGAGGCATTTTCATTTAGTCATTTCACAATAATTTTGCAGAAGAATGTTATAACATTAGTAGAAAAGGATGGGACAA